AAGAGGAATGAAGTCCCTCACTTCGGAGCTAGCCTCGGTTGGAGCGTCACGGCTCCCTGGTTGGGGACCGAAGGGCGATAAACACATTCGGCTGGAAACACTTTTTGAATTTGAGAGTAAAATACTTATTTCTTTACATGGCAAGGAGCTGATCACAATGGCGTTTGTTCTGTGAGCTTCCTGGTCCCTCCCCTTCTGCTCAACCTCTCCCTCCAACCAATATCTTATTTATTTGCATAATGCAACTCCGTTTTTGCGGCAGAATAGCAGGCTGGCAGCTCTCCGGAACCATGTCCATCCGTTACCGGTGACTCATCCGACGTGCCTCTGTCTTATGTTTTTTCTTTTTTGTATTGCAGCACAATATTTGAGGTGATTTCTGTTGTGGTTGCCGTTGAATGTACGGTTAACCTCCTGCTAACGCGCAGCTGTCCGTCGCCAGAAATCTGTTATGGGTTCCTGCTGTGTACGGATAACCTGCCTGAATCAGTTGTGCCGCGCCAACCCGCAACGAATGAGAACGCCAAGACCAGTTGGATTGAGTGATTCTGATTCGTATTGTATGAGAGCCGGCTGTTAGCTCTCCGAAACGATGTCCATCCGTTACTGGGGACTCAGCCGTCGTGCCACTGTTGTTTTCTCTTATATCTTGTATTGCGGCACAATAGCTGAGGTGTTTTCCACCTGCAGCTAACGTGTATAATGAATGAATGAATGATCTCCAGTTGTAGATCGATTCAATGTTGCACCACGCTTCTCGGCTTGTACGCTGGCTCTCCGTAACACCTCTCTCGCGCAAATGGACGTGCGACTTCCCTCTTGGGTCCATGTGCATTCTGATGACGAGTCTCCACACCCGATCATTCCATCATCGTGGCTGCAAGTTCTTTCCTTTTTGTGGCCACTGCTAAACGCACATTAGGTCCCTCCTGGGTCCCAGGGTGAATGGTTCACCGGGTGGAGAACACCTGTTTCCTCTAAATGATCAAGCTCCTAGTTAACCATTGATGTTGCTGCGTAAGGCATAGGGTGTCTCTTGCGAAACACTGGGACGGCATCGGGCTTAAGGGACAGTGAGGCTTGTACCTTCTTGCACTTACTAAGATCTTCCCGAAAGATTTGCTGTATACCTCACTCGCAGGCACTCAATGGACATTGTTTGGGGGGCTATGGTTTGTCTATCTGGACAGTTGCACGGAGTTGCAGATCCTTGCATTTCGGTTCGCAGGCAGCTATTGTGAATGAATAAATGACATTTTGGGAATGAAGATCTTAACTAACATCCGATTGTCCAGAGCTCGAGGCGTGATTTCTCTAGCTGATGGGATCTAATAAGGTCAAAACGCGTGGTGGTGTGAAATGTTTCCGCGCGGACAACGCCCAGTTTTCATACAGTTTAGTTACAGTGGTAGTCATCGAATTGGTCAAGGTTCGTTTCATTGCAAATCACGGTCTACAAAGAGATTGCGCGTTGCAATCCAATCACACGAATTTTACTTCAAAATGGCTCTTCAAACATTAGTTGTTCTGCTTCGCAGACCAGTTCGCGGCTGTGTAAGGGAGGGGCCATTACCCCGATGCACTGGTTTACGGGCATTGACGATGTGCATCTGTTGCGATCCACAGCGTTCTAAGTAAGAAGCAATTTGTTTCAACCCTTTAAAAAGTGCTTGTTTACTACTTTGTAACTATCGTTAATGCATTTCATTTATTTTTTTATCAAGGCTTTTGCTAGCATCGGAGGTTACCTGGCAGGAGGTCGTGAATTGGTCGACATGATCCGATCGTACGCTTCCGGATTCATCTTCACCACATCCTTGCCTCCATCTGTTCTGGCTGCTGCACGCGCGAGTGTAGAGATTCTTAAATCGCAAGAAGGCCGAGATTTGCGTGCAGAACACCAACGAAGAGTTTCTATCGTGCGGCGACGACTGAAAGAGGAGGGCTTACCTGTGATCGATGCGCCTTCGCACATACTGCCATTGCACGTGAGTCTCCTCGTGACAATATGCAGATTGTGTTATTAAACGACGCAAAACTCGTTGTGTAGTAGGTTTGAAAAATGACCTCAGAAAGTCTTCTAGATGATTCCACTACGGATAGTATGGTTACTTTTCTACTGAAGCCGATTTTATCTTTGTTTCCCGACACGCCCCATATTTCTCCGAGCGAACTTCACCGAATAACAAACAATTTATCTCAACTAGACTCCGTAAGTAGTTCAGCTCATGCGCTAGTGTGTCCTCGCTGGGTTAGACATCGGACAAGTTTCCGTTTTTTGGACAAGTGGGACAAAGCTGGCAAAATAAGTGTATTGCCTGTACCACGTTGTCTTTTTGTGGACACTCCGTTTGTTGCGTGGTGCACCCAGTTAGAAAAACCGGTATGCAAAGCTTTTGGCTAAAAATCCCCGTTGCCAAGCGTCTTGTATTTAGTGGTAGCTCTAAAATGGAGTTGTTTTTACGTGAATAGGTGCCATCCAAATGGAAATAAGTTTATCGGATCTCTAACCATTCACATGAAAGCACTGCTTCCAATAGTTCATCACTGTATCCAAGAGGGACACAAGTAAGGACACACGTAAGGTTAAAGTTTAGTCAACACAGCCGAAGACTAGTGGTTATTGAGAGTGTCTATTTTCTTGCAAGTTACCCGAAGTGCTGGCCAAAGAAAGCACTCAGTTACTGACACCACAACAGAGAAACGGAAAATAAGTATCACCTCCATTGGTGGTGACACGTTCATCAGGCTTAGTGAGTAGACCGATCTGTTAACAGTCGACGCATTTCCTAGCAAATTCACATGTTTTTCACAAACTTACGTGGAACAATCGAAATTCAACCATTTCCCGTATTCTCTCCAGCTATCCACATAATCCTAGATGGGTAGGTTGCACATGAGAACCACCGAAATGCACGGATTGTGCGTAAACGGTTGGAATTTGCGAAGTAACGAATCATGATTGTTTTGTTGGAATGTGGCTGTTGTTTTCTAATCGACCTCTTCCCAGACCACTGAATGGCGCAGTTTGAAGTTCGGTACACTTGCCATATCTGCCTTTTCTGAACGATCTGTACCCGGTTGGAATGTAGGTGTGTGTCGCCTCCTAGCTTCGGCAAATTCCAGCATGAACTGGCGCTGGTACAGCGAAACGAGGTATCCTGACCCACGGACGTCTTTCTATTGTCGCTGAAAGTCAATGGTGGCGAGTCACTGGTTGTTGGCGTAGCACCATGTGCTGTACTGATTAGATCCATTTAAGCTAGAGGTGGCCAGCCGTACACTGAATATATAAGATTGATTGTCTAAAGGTGATAGAGACGCTACTTTTGCTGGAAATATTTCTGATATGCATCTTCATTTACTCTCGGGAAACTGAAATCGCTGACAACCATGATGTTTTCCGTTCCGATAGTCCCTCAGCCTGCGTTGTCCGGCGTTGAATGGTGCCATATACGCAGACGGTCCACCATGTTAGTCCCGCTTCATTTGATCATGTGTTTGAGGTAATGAAAGGTCATCCAGATGAATTCTTAATTATTTTCATTTGATCGACCGTGACTGCCTAGACTAGGGGTGTGCTAACTTCTCGCAAGAATGGCCACATTTTGTGAGGTAAAAATATGTCGAGCCATATTCAATCTGCCATTAAAATAATAACTAAAATGTTACAAATTTTTTATCGTAACTTTTTAATGTGAAGGAGGAAACTGAGATCCTTTTTATTTTTTGACTTAGTTAATAAATCATACTACATCATTGGTTCTTACCAGCATCTGACGCTACTGAATTTTTGTACATAACGTTCTTAATTTCTTTGGTAACCTGTAATGTCATCTATATGGAAAAACCCAAGCCTGAATTTATTATTTCATGATGAGGCTGCGGGCCAGTGTATCGGAAACTACACCCTGAGTTATCATCAAGTGGAGCGCTTCTAGGGTTGTACCTTTTTCCACTTTGAGAACGGATCTACCATTTGACGAGGTCGCTTGTAATAGTCCTCCGGCTCGGATTTCTGTGTTCAACTACTACATCGTGTCACAAGATACCCTTGAAGATACGACAGTAGATAAATACCTAGTAGGGGATGTCCATGGAAGAGAGTAGTGCGGGAGGGTGTTATGCATAATATGACTCTTTTACGACAGCCAGCTGTTAGCTCTCCGGCACGATGTCCATCGGTTACTGGAGACTCACCGGGCGTGCCACTGTTTGTTTTCCTTTTCTTGTCTTTTGTATTGTGGCACAAGAGCTGAGGTGTTTCCCACCTCCAGCTAACGTGTAATGATGATTAGTGCAGGAGGGACACAATGAGGTAAGGGGAAGCGGTGACGATAATCCAAACGTCGCGTATCGAGCTCGCACTTTTTACCGTGTTACAGGAAGTTTTCTGAACGGCTCAGTCCCTGGCTGAATATGCACCAACATCTCACTTCTCAGTGTATGTATTAAACTTTAAATTGCAAGACACTACTACAAGACGCAACTAGTACGGGCAGCTCACCCCGCACCAACTTTAATAGTCAAATAACCGAAAGTTACTGCACGCGTACTTCGTAGGGTTCGATTAACCAGTCAAACTTAAATCACCCAAGGAGGTGGCAAACTTCTACCCACATTTCGGCTAAAATTTAGGGGCTCGTCGCTTCAATGTGATCACGGTTACTAAGTGAATGGGAGGCGTGGCAGCTACGTGCTAGGACCATTGAGCGACTAGCATTTGTGTAGGATTTTCAGTCTCTGCCTTGATTGACATATGCGCAGTACTGCTTTGAATCGCCTTCTATGCTTGAGTCATCCGTTTCCTGACACACATCGACTGCCTCTCCGAAAATTACAGTTGATCGGGTGAAGACTCAAGGTAGCCATCAAGGATACGTGGAAAGGATATCGAGAAACCAGTTTTTACCTAATCAGACCGGCTATTGACGAGACTAGTCATGTCAATAGTTAGAGACGTTATCCGACCTAATGCAGTTACGAAATTCACAGTGTTCTTAGAATCCAGCCCATTAATTCTACCTGCTAAAAGTTGATCTTCCTAAGTTTTATCCCTATGTACGTTCTTTTGTTCTCATTTCTCATTACTGTTATAGTGAAGTTACGAATTGTGACACTTGGGTCCATCGCACTTATCAACTTTCATTACGATTAACGGTTATTCGTTCACCAGATAGAGCTCCGCTGACATGGCTCAATTGACCGAAACCGCGTAGACGCAGACGACGCGATCGGTGGCAGTCGCATGGCAGCAAAGCGCCTGTACTGTGCATTATGAAAAGCTTATCAATGTCTAAATATGAATCTAGATAATGGTCGCTGACGTTTCGCCAGTTTTGTAGAAATGTTTCAAGCGACTTAATGCGCGGGGATGCATTACTTTGCGAGGAATTCTCTTCCATGATGCGGAGGGGTCTTACATCACTGTTGTTTTGAGACTAAGACTGTATTTAAGAGCACGCAAAAAGTTTCTACCGAATTACGAAAAATCAAAAACACTTAATTGCGAATCGTCAGCGACAGTGCTTGGTCAGTTAATCATTTATCCTTGTTCGGTTAGGAATTCATATTGGTGTCATTATTTCTGGGTATAGGATGTATATTTTGTACTGTGTGTGCATCGTTTCATAAAACCACAGGTTTCCGAAATAATCGTCGACACGTGTTTTAAAACACTTCACAGAATCGGTATCCATTAATTCTTCAGTTAGTTCACGATTCTTCGTTCTGTGCAAAGCTGGTGTGATACCTTGTTCATGCAGGGGACCCTGCGTCTGTAACGGTGTCCTCGGGTGAAATATTGGCCGCAGTATGGGGAAGTGATTCAATTGTAGTACTCCATGGGTCATAATAGGGTCAATTCTTACTCGGCGATAGGATAGTGTGTAGAGTCCGAGCCTTTCACAGCGTTTTTCATACGGAAGCTTTCGTAGACTTGGTATCATTCTAGTTGCGATATGCTGTATTTTCTCCAGCTTTTCAGTTTCCTATTGGGTTATCGGATGGTAAGCTGGGGCACCGTATTCAAGGATTGGTCTAATGAACGAGGTGAATAGACGAGGGACGGTTTCTTCGGATCATGTGGAGAAACTGCGTCTTATTACCCAGAGCATACAAAGTCCCGTACGGTACAATTTCTCTGTATTTTCTAGTGATCTCAGATCATGTCGTGAGAGAACTGCTAAGTCTCTGACAGATGTGTTGGGATGGAGCAACTGGCCGTCCAAGGTGTATGATCGAGTGGCTGGACGTCTTGTGATACTGATGAACTCCGACTTGCTTGCGTTAAGAGGGAGTTGCATTTCAGTTGACCACGTTGACAGTCGATCTAAGTCATGCTGGAGGCTAGCGCAGTCGTTCTGGTTCTCAATGATCCTCCAGCCTTTCATATCATTTGCAAGCAGCGCACATGATGACTGGAGCTGCTGCGGAAGATCGTTGATATGAATGAGAAAGAATACTGGCCCAAGTACAGTTCCTTGAGGCACACCACTGGTCGATGGGACCCATTCTGTCAGATAGTCAATGACCTGTAGAATAAACTTTCGTCCTAAAATAGACTTGTGTAACCACTGAAGTAGCGTGCCACCGATTCCGTATGTCCTCAGTTTACGAAGGAGTACCTCGTGGTTCACTCTGTCAAACGCCTTACTAAAGTCGATGTACACCACGTCAACATCCTTCTGTTCATTGAGAGCTCGAACCCACTGGTGGTTTGCGTACACCAAGTTGGTGATGCAGGATCACCCTTTCGTAAAGTCGTGTTGCGCTGGCGTCAATACGTCCATCGATTCGAAGAACGATAGCAGACACTTTTCCACAACCTCCTCGAGAACTTTGGATAATACCGAGGTCAAACAGATCGGTCTATAGTTCTCTATTTCACTCGGATCACCACCCCTGGGAAATGATCTCACTGTCAAGTATTTCCAGTCATTGGGGACGGATCAATCAGAGAGTGATTTATTGAATAGTTTTCTCACGGCTGGTGAGTTGATAATCGTTAGGGACTTGAGTATTAGTGGGTGAAGTCCGTCGGGTCCGGTGGGCTTTGCACCATCGAGGTTGACGAGTAGCTGATACACTTAGACTGCATCACATTGTAGCCTGTCGAGTAAGATTGCGCAACCTGTGCCGGTACTGAAACCGCCGCCGGTTTACTGGAAAATACGGCGAGAAAGTGCGTAGCTAAGGTGTCCGCGCGATCCGCACTTGAAATGAGCGTCTTTCCGTTCAAGCTCCCTAAGACCGGTAGGTCGCCCCCGGATTTCAGTTGACGTTTCAAGTAGGCAAATATTCTTTTGGCCGAGGATGCTAGCTCCTCTTCGAACTGCCGGCGTTTCTTGATTTTTGCGACGTTACATAAGTTACGCTGTTTCTTGTACATCGTGTAATCTTCATCACAACCCGAGCTGTTGCGCTAACGGTCTGTATTCCGTATCAAACCAACGCGGTTTGATAGGTCCGATTTTTGAATACTTAAGGGGAACGAACCGAGTACAGAGCGAGTTAAATTTCCCCTTCATTAATGACCAACAGACCTCAAGTGACGCATCCAACCAGTCTGACTTGCGACTTGGACGAGCCCGTTGAAATCCGTCTTCCAGTAGTTGAATGGCGCCTTCCGTTGGATGTGATACGGTAACGGCAGTTCTATGATTGCCACAATGGAGCAGTGGTCACTGTTCGCCAGAGGTTTGAGGATTCTGATCTCTTTCAGCTTCTGCTCACAAACACTGGGTCCAGACAAGATGCCGAGTTCGGAGTTATGCGCGTTGGTTGGGTGACATTACGTCGCTCCGATTTCAATAGTCATTTTAGCTAATTGAGCCTCAACGTCGCCGTGACCCGGAAGAAGCCGAACGTCTTACCAGAATATTTTAGGTAAATTTAGATCTCATATCAGTAAGAACTGAGGGCGGCTCATGTGACTGTGTATGTGTGGCAGCCAATTTTAACAATAGTGTAAGGGGCTACAGTAGATAACACTCACTATTAGTTCTGCGCGTCTGAGGCGGATTGTGCACCACAATTGCTCGCATAAGTTATCCTCGCTCGGATAGGTGCTGATAAGTACAACAGAACATCATCGTGAGCCTTTGATTTTTGGTCGCATCGGAAACAATATTATGCTGATGTCGGAGTTCAGCCAAGTCTCTACAAGTCCTAAAACGTCCGGTTGCTCCGACACAGCGAATCGGCACAGTTCTTCACGTTTGTTCATTAGGCTGCACACGTTCGCGAATGCCACACGGAGGTCCTGAGAGGTACCGCGGGACGTGACTGTAGGTTGAGCAACCGGTTGATACGGGTTCGTACACCCTTCTCGATCACCCGAAAATCTACAATTTGTAAGTCAATCTCACCTTCCTCTGTACGACGTTTGAGTTCAATGACCGCAGTCCTCAAACGATCCCTGTCTTCACGTTCGATGTCTTGGCGGATGTGAAACTTTCAATCTTGACGGTATGAGCTGCGGCATATTGTGATTTGCCAAGGTGTTTCTCATAGGTCGACATGAGTGGTTAGTTTTCTGGCCAGGTCTGATTACTTGTTTCATCGTCACACTGTCTTCACCCACATCTAAGGGTCTATCGATGAGACCATGGAGGAACTCAACATCGTGATCACAATGTATCTGAGGGTTTTCATCTTTTGACTCTGGTACGTGGAAAACCATAATATTATGACGCCTCAGCGAAATCGGTGATGAGCCTATGGTAGCAGGGCTAGAAGCGCTTATCGGTTTGGGTTGTTGTTTATCAGCAGGGGACCCATGAATTCGATTACGTGGCGTCTTGCGCTTTTGAGAGGTCCATAGATCCTCGGTGTTCAAATGTTTACAAACAGGCTCTGAGAAATTCACGGGCCGGTCAGTGAAGCGGCATTTCGTAGGTTGCGAGTCTGAGTCTTTAATCGGTGGGGAACATTGAACCTGAGGCTCGGCCGGGATCGAAGACGCTGGTGATGGTGCAGATCGGGGAGTGACAAGAGATGGCGAGGTAACAGAGGTACTTTCACCAGGGCGTTTGACCTCACGTGGTGAACGGTTCGTTTCTGCCTGTAAGTGGTTTTCTCGTCGTTGTCTATTCTGATGTCTTTCACCGCGACATATATCACACATAACTTTGAAAAACCGATGTCTGGAGATTTTCGAAACACGGCAACCGATAAGCCAATGCACGAAATATGGAACGAAACATCGCGGCCAATGAGCATTATGTCCATCAACTTCCGTATACGAACCACAAGTAGATTAAGGCGGCTTCAAAAGGTGAATTGGGAACAATCTTAAACTGCCAGCCTTTGGTTGCGATTGGATTCAGGTTACCACTATTGCTTCCCTGAATCCATTAATTTGCTTGGTAACACAAAAAGTTTGATTAAAATTACTTGTGAACGTCGTCCGAACGCTGCAGGAAGTTGTTTTGTGTAAAACCTTTTACAATTTATGAGACCCCCCCCCCCGCGTTCTGTTCACAGGTTGGAGATGCGGAGCTCTGTACCCGCATCTCAACGGAGCTGTTGGCTGAGCACAGCATCTACGTGCAATCCATCAACTATCCGACGGTGGACAAGGGCGATGAACGATTGCGTATTGCACCCACGCCGCACCACACGGACGCGTTGACAGAGCAACTAATCGACTCACTGTGCACAATTTGGCGAAAATACGATCTTCCGTTGGTTCACTCATCGGAGCGCCGGTTGAAGCGCGCACCACCGTCGTTTGCTTGATGAACCGATGATAATACACTGTGTTGCTTTTAGTCTAGATATCACCTTATCCACATTAGCCATTTTCTGACACCCATTCTTTCAAATGGTAACACGGGGCATATGTGAAGGAAAGGAAGCAATTAACAAATGGTATCCAAATTGTACAACAAACACAGTGGTACTCGTTACAAATGGGAAGTGATGGTGGTGGTTTCCGGTGCTAATCCGATATAGGCCGTTTATACCAAAACCGGGCTCGGTTGTCATCGCTGCAAGACATGAAGGCAGCGGTAGTTGGTGAATGCACGAAGCACCGAATGGGGCCATTGTGATCTGCGGGAAAATAGGGGGGGAGCAAAAATCAGCCATGTGCTCAAACAGAAGTGATGAATAGGGGTGAGCCTAACTGATGCGTATTCGAATTTCACACACTAGTTACTTTCGATTGTGTGGCAGAAAAGCGCTGGTTGCAGTTGATCAGGGGGAGCTAGTTTGTAACGTCCGTGACCCAGTCAAATGATTCGTCCCAGTTTAATCGCCGGTCCGGAAAAGCACCATACGACCGTTTCGCCTTAAAGGGTGCGCATTCCTTCAGTCCCTCTTCAGGCAACCGAATCCATTATCGTCAGCAGTTTGTGCCAATTACTCAACATCTTTGCTACTGAGCTATTGGGAACGGTGGCAGACATTCATAACTTACAAGGTAACTAGGATGTGGCTCTTCACAATTTCAACAGATTCCTGAATTCAGAATCCTAATGACATCCGTTGGGACCCCAACAGAGTGATAAGGGTTAGGTGAACGGACTTATTGCATCCGATTCCTTCGACCTAACTAATCTGCCTCATTGGTCAGCTGGACACACATACTCACGGACTGTGCTGTGTACTCGTTGTGCTTTCGATTCCGTACCGACAGGATATAGAATACTAGGCAAACCACGAACGACGTACGAACTCTGAGGCGGCCGTAATTCTTCTAGGTATTCAGATTCGGGTGAATGTCAGTGTCAAGTTGTGTGCTCTGCTCGGGCTCCCATGGTGGTAGAGCGCGTGGACCATGCGAATCTGTCCCTTCACTGGCACACGCGTCCGTAGCGAACACTACTCACAGGGGTGGTAACATGATATGCACTGCAACCCAAAGGGCTCCAAACTGGTCATAACTTTATCGGTAGAGTCATCGGATCACTTCAATAGCAGGACGCTGCTTTTGTGATGAGCAAACTATGTGCTAACAGATAGATGGAGTGATGTCTGAGACAGTCGAGAGTTTAATTGATTTAATTTTCATGCCTCGCGCAGTGGGCACCAATAGCATATCTGCTGTCGTCTCGCAGTCGAACTGCCTGTTTGCAGTTTGTCTACTGCTGGATTGCCTGCAGAGGAATGGCCTATTACAACGCGAGGCAGTGAATGTTGCAATGAGGCTGTCTAGCAGATGCCGCCTTATTTTTGCATGATAGTCAGCATTTTGTGACAGAAGCGTCTTCATCCGGAGTACTTGCTTAGGGTATTAAGGTTTTACACTAGATCCCCCTTCTCCTCAGTAGGTCATTGTTGTACCACAGCAAAGCATCAGTTCGAATGGCGGATGCGCTGTTGTCGGTGATGATAAGGGGAACACCACAATTTATCGTGGGTACATCTATGTGGCCAAGACAGCCCTGTTACGTGTCAACATCGAGCGAAACATCCCTACTCTACAAGGCTAACCGCATGTGACTCCTGCCAACTTCCGAATATCAGGTTCAAACCGAAAAACAGTAACTGATTGTTTGACAGTGAGGTTGTTAATATATATATATATATATATATATATATATATATATATACACGTACACTGGAATATGAACTCCATGCACCTGCGTTCAACATGTGTAGCCGAACATGTCAGTAAAGCGGGTCCTAACCCGAGCCATCGAACAACGAGGTCGGTGTTCCCAAAGTCGGAGGTCACGACATCGCGTTGCCTTCTTCCACACTGGTCGACGAGTGGACATGAAACTCTTCATGTGAGGCAAGAGCCGTGTCACTTAGACGCGACGTGAACGAAATGACACTCGCTACAAAATGCCTGTTCTCACGTCGAAAATAGTGAAATGCTTCACGCAAGAACGAATGTTTGATTGGTGGAACATAGAACCGATTATCATCCGGACATTAATCAAGATGCCCGATTACAGGTGTTCACAACGGAGAAGGGTGGGTGTACATTCTTAAGCACTCACTGCGCATCACCAGGCGCGATCCAGATTGCAGTTGTGCCATCAGATTGCTCACCAGTGTCCATAAGTGGATCTCCAAGCAGATAGGAATCAGAAGCGAGCATCAAAATATGGTGGCTCTGGATTCGTAACCGGTGCCTAATCCGCAGACATAATCAGTGGACAACAGTCTCACTGATGTCAGGGGTGGGGCTGCGCTTGAAGTTGTGAACAAACACCGCTAAGTCTTACGTAACATACTATTCTAATACGTCGTAGGCGCGCCCATCAAAACTCACAGCCCTCTCACGTGTAGTAGTAGTAGTAGTAGTAAACGGTGAATGTGATTTTTCCTACTGTAACTGGTTTGGTCCGATCCAATCACGCGGTCCAGCTGCATCACTTTGTTTTGTGTGCGATACTGCGACGTAAATAATGCGATAACTAAGCGTTGGGTCACACGTTCGCAACTTTCACGTACAATATGAGAACGAAATGTCTCGTAATTAGTGCGCAAAGATTTCACGTGGTTGTTTCACCTATTTGTTGTTCGCAAACGATGTTTCAACAATGTCGTGATTAAGATTTCCGCTTCCCGGCGCGAAGATTGTAAACAAAAGAAGCCGACGTCTACGTTACCCTGGTGAATCGTTAGATGTTTATACGGAGCATTGGGAAATGTGGCATGCAAGCCACGTGAAAATGCTCACCCGTCCGTAGCAACTTCTGTGTGTGCAATGCGCTATACCAAAATGCGGACTTGATTTGCCTGGCCATGTGCGACCTGATCGAGTCAATGTCTACAGGTCATCGGATTACCAAGTACACCGACAAATTTACTAAAAATTGGCATTCAGATTCTTATGAGTAGACATAAAGACAATTCCCATTCAGCAATACGGTTGGCAACCGACTTTCACATTCATGAACAAGCAATAAAGATAAGGTTCTCTTACTCAAGGCGAGTAGACGCTGTCGGTCTGCATTGCGCGAATCCCAGCAACACAGGCTCTTTGTCGCTTCGTCAGGAAAGAGCACTAAACGGAACGCAAAAAATGCGGTCGAATAAACACGGAATATACAAGTTAAATGGTAATAAATCGTTACAAAGTTAATGGCGAGCAAAATGTTAGTGTTGTTCCCATCTTCGTGCGCTCTAGTATCGGTGAGAGCGATGAAACAGCCCCTATAACTCAAACTGTCACACTGGATCAGCTTATACTAAGGTTTAAAAAAAGAAACGGACATTGTGAAGAATTTACAATGGCTGGAAACATCGACGGAAAGCTCTAATTTTGCGACGTAGTGGCGAGCTAAAAACGATGATGCTATTCTCCGTGTTCTTCAGGCGGTGATCACATGTATGATCAATGTCCGCTTCTGTTAGTTTGATCCAGGAAGCCACCAAATCGACTTCAGCAATTATTTTGTGGGCAGAATCAGCGGCGCTTCATTTCCGGCCATCTACTTGTTAGGCACACTGGCTTGGAGGCTTAGGTTAGATTCCTTTTCGGGTAGGTCGGCTGGTAGGAGCCAAGCAGCGAGTAATACTTACGGAATTGACCCCAATGAATCTTGCGCCTTACGCAGCTGACCGATGTGCTAGTAATGCGAATCTAGATAGAATTCCGTAACGTGGGAAGGACTGTCGCTCACGGGTTAAGCCCTCCACAGCAGCTTGATCATTCGCAATCAAACACACAGTTCAGTAAAAACAATGATCTATTCGGTCACCAGTTGGTGCTGGCCAATAGTAGACGTGCTTAGGAACACTTTACTGCTGTTTCCTCCCTCCCGGCCCCCAACACTGAACCATGACCTTCTTCAGATTTTTTACGCTATTTCTGTACACTTAGCCTAACTGTGTCACCGTGGTGAGAACAACGCATACTGTCATTCGACCGATCAATTATTTGAAATGTCTGTCAGGCAATTGGTCCGCGGACCAAGTTTACATCAGCAGGTCGAGGATACAGTTCGAAGTGCATCAGAGCTGCCCCAGCCCCCCCTGTCTTGCTCTGGAACGACTGACTGGCAGTATGCTGATTGATAACGCACTTTTTACTTTGCACACTTCAGTTCCAAGGTGCAATGTACGACTATAGAAATAACTCGATTGTTCAAAAACCGCAAATGTATCGAAATAGGCAGCCGATCCCTCAACTCAGGAGGTCTTATTAGCTTTAACGTGAAAGTGATTATCGGTGTCAGGAAAAAAGTCAGTTAGCAAAAGAGGAAACATGAAAGTGAGTACAAACGTTGGTTGCGAAAGACACGGAAATGTTGGCAAAACTATATCTACGAGTGCACACATGGCATAGGCGACATAGCTGCAGGATGTCAATCAAATAGTCCCAGTCCGGATGTGGCCGCTCCCAAGGCCATTGCCCTGGAAGACAGCACGTAACAAGGTTATTTGTCGGTCAATTTTCGCCACGCCATCGGCTGCCCACTCCGTTCCCTCTAACTGACCACAACCACAAACAGCGCGTGTCAATGTGGGCGGTCAATGCAGTTTCAAAGGACATGACTTGACCAAATTCAGCAGACAGTCCCAAAACGGACCTAAAGGTCTCCAAACCCCACACTGGATGGGGGGGGGGGAATATTTCCTGGCTTTGCGGTGTTGGTGGCTCACTGCACCAGTGGGTTAGCGACTTTCGTATTGGGCGAACGGCACAGGCGGATGATCATCTAACCGACTGGTATCCTTTCACTGGTGGCGGAGCTCGAGGCACAGCACTGGGACCCATTTTGTTCCTGACCCACAGCAACGCAGTACCTCAGTTCCTACGGTCGCGATGCGTATAGTTCGCGGAGAGTGACTGATGCTCCCAAAGTGTGCAACTTGCTTAAGAATGACTTGGACTGTCTGTCCATGTGATCCGCAGAGGTTGATTTCCCAGTCTATGAAATCAAGTTGTTAATTGCAGTAAAACCACAAGTTGCCCATTTCCACATAGTACAAACGTTCACCCGGTAAACCCTATGTTGACAACCTGGACTATAACAATCGCCATTAATTTAATCTCCATATCGTGATTATGTGTGATGGTTCACTGTGTAATGGGCGCTGAGTGACTCGTTTGTTCAAATAATAACGTATATGTAGCGAAATGTTGACATGTGTGAAATTCTGCCGACTCATAATCTCACGGCACTTTACGGCTCCGCAGATGTATGACGATGCAGAAAGTTCTCTATGTTTACCTCGTACAGCGTGTCCCCAAAAATATTCAAGTCGCATTACCGAATCCAGATCATGCTATTACTTAGGATAAGTTTCGCTTGACACAAAGTCCCATGAGAAACAATACAGAAGGGCTGGATTTGTTCAAACTCTCGAGCAGGATGCCGTCGCGTTACTAGACATTCCATCCCATAGCATAATATGAGGGAATAGATTATCAAGTGTTTGTTACAGTGATGTTGATTTGCACTGAACCAGACCCAGGTGCTATTTTCCAAAAGATAGCAAGTGCGGTACACTCCTACGAAAACAGAATAGAAGGAGAACTAAGTGAAGATGGTATGGAAACCATCATAAATTCCGAAAGATGGTGCCAGGCATCTTTAAATGCAACTGAAATCACTCGAAGTGGAAAAATGTCCAAGCATGCTGATAGGGATTTTTAAAATTATGCATATAGTAAGAGAAAGAAGTACACAAAGATTGATATTATTTCATGTACTATTTATTTACTATAATACTGTATAATTCAACTGTGCTTGCCATTATGCAGGCGTTCATCTAATATATTAGAAAGCAAATGTATGCGAAAATAAAGTCCACATCGTACTATTCACGACGGGAAAGTATGATCGAAATTTGTATGGGACCACCTCTCTATGCCGACCACTTTGGTCCCGTCATTTGAGTAGGCAACCTACGGAGATTTCACTGTTTGAGCATGGAGAAAAGTGATGATAGGCGTATGTATACTCTGACCGGGCAACCGCTGTATTTCATACCTTACGTAAAGGGTCTCGACGTACTCTTACGCTGAATCCCGTGGACAATCATCATTATACACGTCAGCTAGAGATGGGGAACACCTCAGCTACTGTGCCGCAATACATAAAGGAAAATAAATACAAAAGTTTCATGCCAGCTGAGGTACCAGCAACCGATAGGCATCGTTCCGGTAAGCTACCTGCCGGCTACTAGGCAAAAAGAAAAATTATTATGTTTTACGCTACGAAATGAGATCGTGATTGGAGGAGGAGGCTAAAAGGGATGGGGAGAGACAAAGAAACTCACAGCAAGAAGGCCACTGAGATCGGCGCGCCTAGCCATGTCAGCAAGTATATTCAGCCAAACCTGTTCACCGTCTTTTGGACCCCAACCAGGGAGCCGTGACGCTCCAACCGAGGCCAGCTCCGAAGTGAGGGCCTTCATTCCTCTGAACCAAGTCATCGCTTGGCCACCCCTCCTCTTCTTCCACCCACATCCCAGGTGAGCAAACAACGCACGTCGTGGGAGTCGATGCGCTGGCATGCGCAACACGTCGTCTAGCCATCGGAGCCTGGTGCGCGAAATGACGATGCTGAGCGGTTCAGTTCCTTTTCCTGTGCCGTAAACAAGGCGTCGAACACCCTCATTACTCACGCGGTGTTCCTACCAGATGTGAGGCAAACTGCGAAGGCACCGATGGTCGAACGTAACTAGCCTCTTCATGTCCGCCGATCTTATGGGCCAGATTTCGCAATCAGGCTCCGATGGCTCGGCCACGTGTTACGCATGCCAGCCCACCGACTCCCGCGACGTGCGTTGTTTGCGCGCCGGGGGTGTGGATGGTAGAAGAGGAGGGGTGGCCAAGCGATGACTTGGTCAAGAGGAATGATGGCCCTCACTTCGGAGCTGGCCTCGGTTGGAACGTCTCGGCTCCCTGGTTGGGGTCCGAAAGACGATGAACACGTTTGGATGGACACACTTGCTGATATGGCTAGGAGCCGACCTCAGTGGCGTTCGTGCTGTGAGTTTCTTTGTCCCACCCCATCCCCCTTAGCCTCCCCCTCCAACCACGATCTCATTGTTTAACCTTATATGATTTTGCATAGTAATTTTTTTGATGCATGGTAGCCGGCTGGTAGCTTACCCACCCGTTACCGGCAGCTCAGCCGGCTTGCCCCAGCTGAATTCTTTTTTCTGTGTATTGCGGCACAGTAGCTGGGGTGTTTCCCACATCTAGCTAACGTGTATGATGAGGATGGTGATTCGCAACCATACAGTAAGGTCGAACGTACCGCTGCATTGTGCACTCTACCCTTCACAGCGAGAGTAATGTCGCGCCGCCGCCATAGGTGGCGAAGGTTAGCAAAAGCACTTCGATCCCAAGGGCGCTGATACAACTTCCCAGGTAGTTAAATTTTTGAACGACTTTTAGCTGATCCCCACCAAGGGTCAGCGCAGGAGGCGATCCCTGCAAATCTTGGAGGAACGCTTTGCACTTCGATGGTGCAAAGCAAAGCCCGAAGCGGCTGACAGCCAGTGCTAATCTGTCCAGCGCGGCTTGGCACGTCTGGGAGCTGTCACAGATGAGGACAATGTCGTCTGCATACTCTAAGTCAAGAAGTCGTTCTCCTGGGAGTAGCTCCACACCTTCCAAGTCATGTCCTGTAGATGCAATCCCCATGACTTCGTCAATAGCGAAGTTGAAAAGAAAAGGTGACAGCGGGCATCCTTGTCTCACACCGCTGGAGATATTGTAGGGTGGCGACAGCTTGCCCGTGCTACGCGCGTATAATGCTCGGAAAATATTTACATATTTCTCGGGCACACCTTTCCTGAGTAGACAATTCCAAAGGACACATCGATCAACCGAATCGAAGGCACCTTTGATGTCGAGGAACACGACTACGGTGTACCGCCAATATGTTTGACGGTGGAAAATACGAACAAGCGATATGGAAACTAACTGCAAATGCTCTAGGCACTCAAACACAGCTTCTACACTTTGAAGAGAATACCATTCACCTCTCCTCTTCCATGATAAAACCAATGCTCGAGTATGTTTTACCCGCCTATTGTCCCATCACTCGTGAGTAGGTGTAAAAAATACCAGTAATATAAAATAGATATCCCTTCCTAGTTTCAAAATGCTATGGATATAGCGTCTAGTGAGAGGACGTCATCACATCGCAGGCCAACCACTGTCAGTGATAGTGGAAGATAGGTGGTGCTATATCCCAGTTAGTTTGCTACGTATGTAGCCCAGTCAACGTCCCCCAATGGCTCACGGACTTAATCTGCTGGCTAGTTGGCATCTGCTTCTAGCGGTCATGGGTTCGATCCTCCTTAGGGGACCGAGGGAATGCGCACCACTGACGAGCCACAATAGGACGAAACGCGTCTGGTGCTTTTTCGGACTAGGTTGTGTTACGTAGTTTGCGAACTACTGGGATGAAAACCTTAACAAAATTCAACATGTATCTACCAGACTCATACCCAGTTTACCTGGTGTCGCATGAAAACCGTTGCACTCTGTCTCATCGTCGATTTCGAGTTGGCCTCATCCAGACGACTTCCCTGTGCTAAGGCAGCATCTGCATGGGTGCGCACCAAGCAGTACTCGCGGGTACCGGACAAATTTTCACTACCAGATCTGAAACGTATAGCTCACTATATGTGCGTCGAACGGTGAAATAGAAGAACAGCTTACCCGAGACAATAGCGGAGGCAAAATCTGTGTCCAGGCTCAAACAACCACTATGCGCCATACAGATTTCGAGAGCGCATCGCACAACTGATTTGTTTTAACAATACGCGGTAATAAATAACGCCATTCCGCGTGTGTGGAGATGTATATCCTCTGGCTCCCCGTGTTCAGTATTCAGTGCAGTAAAGGACAGAATCTGGGCAACGATCAAAATCCCCCATTTATGAACCATAGGATCACTTTTACTGCACATAAATTCGAAATGCCATTTTAATGTTGCTGCTTTTTACGGGCTGTTTCGCGTTACCACCTACGTCCGCCGCAACCCGTCCAATTTACGCTTATCCTTGCCTGGGGCCACATTAATTTTTGTTATCCCTAGGTTGCCACAAATCTGCATTATCCAATTGCACCGTGCGTGGGCGGCACTTGGTTCGCGTTCTATCGGTCCAGCGGCGTCGGCTTCGCTCGCCAGTCGAGGTTTGTTCGCATGTGCGTGCTGTTCGCCAACTATTATCCGGGTAAACGCGGTTGGTTTCTGCAGAGAGTGCAGTGCCATGCGCTTGTGTCATGCAGCATAGACTCTGTCCCGACACTACAGTCCCAGCGACAGTGGTCAGCTCGCATGGGCCGTTTCCCACTAAGTTCCAACGTCTATTTCCTTCAGCCGTGCTGCTAGCTACCATCACAGCGGGTTTCAGTATGACTACTCCCACCAACGCTCCGTAGTCACATGCGGCTGACACCGCGTCGGACCCGTAACCGGTTGAGATTTGGAAAAGCCACCTCGGCTGTACTCTCCCCAATGATTTGATTCACATAGGCTAGCCGATCGGCCACTTCGAGCTGCTGTTCGACAATAGATTTGGTGCCATGTCCGTACTATGGTCTTACTGCGTAAATCCAAACCATGACGCTGTGTTCTTAACACATCAAAAGCTGGTTGCTGTTGCTCACCAGTGCTAGCAGGTTATTGCGTGCATGTGCTGGGACCAACTAGTTGACAGGACTGATACTCGCAGTCACATAAGTATCGATCGCACAGTTCAACCTGTTTCGTTTGCCAGCAATGCAGTTGGTTGGCGAGGCTCATTGTAAACACCTAACAAAGCGGGAAAGACCGGATGTCGTTGTCACATGAAAGGAAAAGGTTAGGACGCGATTCCTCACTTCCTGTTTCTAATCTTCGTGGCTTCTCATAATCAATACAATTTCTGGACGTTTATCGCACATCCGGAAGAGCGCGTGACTCTGCGAGAACCTGTAGAACTTGAACCACTGAGTCTCAAACTGGGCCATAGAGAGAGGCTTGGATAAACAACTGGAAAACATACTGATGTAGGTGATCAGTAGGCGTACGACAGATACACACGAGCCAACATAAGCCGTTCGAGTTCAAAAGGCACCTGATGCGCTGTTGCACAGTTCTCTACTAGGTAGCGGCAATATCTCGAAATTTCTGAATGTCTTCCACGCAAAGTGACTGTGTTTCTTGTCCACATAGTAACACTGACGGTACCGCGACGTTGCTCACTTCCTCATGACATGATAGACTATAATCCTACCATTTTCACAGGACTCCGAAAGTGCAGGCGAGCTCTATCGAAAAGCGCACGAACATCGGTAGAATGACTTAGGAAAATGAACCACCATTTAGGGTGGACTTTCGGCGACAGTTGAAACTGGTGCAAAGGACATGCCGAAATGTGCGATGATCTGGATCAGTCTAACAGAAAACGCTCGCACAGGTGCTGAGCTCGGCCAACGGTTTTATTCGCGTGTCCTACGCTCAGCACTTAGTCACGCAATACAACTCCCACTCCAAAAGGACCAATCAAGAGAACATAATGATTTGGAGAGGAAATGTCAACTAGACCAGCTGTGTCGCTTCCTGTTTGCTGTGGGGACCTTAGAAGGTAGTTTCCTGTAGACTCTTACTCTGCTTTCAGAGGAGTGAGGAAACGTTCGGAATAGTGGGCCTTGAAATTCCCCCATAAAGAGCGATCGAAGTTGATTTTCCATTCTAATAGAACCACTATGGCATGTCGCTAACATGTGATTTCCTCTCGCAGCACTTGACGCAGAGTAAAATATGCAACCAATGTGGACGTAGCCGAAGCGAAACGACAAGTGATCCTCCATTGTCCTCCGGTAGGCAAGCGCGCAAAACTTGCGCTGCATCATCATCATCGACAAAGCGTGTTTTGTGCCAATCAGGCCGAACCCGTGAGCCATTCTTCTTGTGTCCGAATTCCGAGAGGGAAAGCATATTGAGAATGATTTTGCCTGATATCTATCTGGTATGAATGGTTCCATGAGATTTTCAATCAGTATGGCTCAGTGTAACGACCGGTGAAACGCAAATTATCACGTCACGTTGTGGTTTAGTTAAATCGCACTAGTTGTATTTGAAAGAGTAAACAGAACGTTGACAGGTGTAAAGTGAGCACAAAATCTATTACTACGCAAGCAGCTGTGTAATACTACCGGGATGTAAATGTAATAATTACTGCACAAAGTGCACTGTGCTTTCTTCGGTACCTAACGTAATCTAGGCAAAGATATCGGGAGAACAATAGGATCGGGACGAACATCGAGTGGATGTATGAGGGCTTCCAGTTCGTCGCACAAGTGTAGCACTCAGCGACTGCAAGACAACTGCCATTGGTGTATCACTTAAAAAAGCCGAGCTATTAGGCGACACAATAATTACAATTGGCTGTTACATGCCAAATATCACTCACCGTAATCCTCTGTATGGTTAAAGACCGCCATTGATCGATGTGTCTGATGTCCGACGGTACCCGCTCCGGTGTATGTGATGAGGCAACGTCCAGTGGCGAGTTCCCACAGTTTCACGGCACTGTCTTTTCCCGAACTGAGTATATACTGCAGTGTGAAAGCAGGAATAATACGAATCAGAAAGAATGTTCGCTATACTATGCTTCTCATGGCTAGCCTGTTACTATTGCGAAGTAAACCAAATAGCGACAGAACCGCTTAGCGCTGAAAGAATGCCAAATAATTCGTACAGAATATCGCTCAGGTCATCCAAAAGACCGTCTGTCTAACTCATACAAAAGGAATTGGAGCAGTGTGTGAGATAGTCTGATTTTTACGACCAAACGCTCCATGGGCAAAATCAGTTTGAACACAGTGCAACAGACTCAGGTGGATCTCCTTGAAACAAACGTACACTGATGTGTAAAGGGGAAACTGCCTTTCACCTTCGTGCGAGCCCTTGACCCTTTTTGCGAGATTCTGATCCCCATCTATTAGTTTTTTGCCCCAAACCATTAGCCGTTCCAGTATGAATCGATATGACCAGATTCCCCCACCACCTTACTCCACAGCCACACCCTTCCAAAGCGTGGTTGTTTTGTTCCGTGTAGCGTACTTCGCAGTCGGCCAACATGGATGCATTCCGCCTCTGTTCCAATTGTACCAAATTGTGGTGTGGTATTGGAACCGTTACCTTCAGTTTCGGTGGAAAGCAAGACCCCAATCCTTTCAAGCGATTCTGTCGCCTTGGCGTTTGTATTTGGCACAGCGAAGCATCATACACCATGCCAAACACGCGCCAACACCTGCGCTCATGCAGTGACGAGACTGCATAAAAACTACGACAAGTGCAGCTTCAACAAAAGCTGAAGATTGCGATACACGCCTGTCGATAGCAAAATACTATCGGGATGGTTGACAATCTCCAACTTCAGCTGGTCTATTTAAAATTCCCATATGCTAGAATACAAGGGTACGATGAGCACTCTTTTCGATAAATCTCATCAGGCTTTTACAATTATAAAATGGTCAGATGAAACAGGATAAGCTAGTGTAGCGCGGGAGTAATTGGCGGAAACAGGACGGGGCAGAAATTAGTTTGTCTTAAGAGATGAATTGGTCGATCTAACCAGGCAGCAGTCACCACAGTACAAGTAAACAGGCATAAACATACACATTTATCCACGAGACGGAGCATGTGTTCTTCGACTGGTTGAGTGACTCACTCATCACCCGGCCGCTGTCAGCGTGTGGAATAAAAGCTGTTTGGCAGTATGTTAACCCCAGTGTACATCTACCGCTGAAGTTCACCAGTGAAATCGAAAATGATGGTAAACTAACCTTCTTGGACGTTCTACTAAAGAAAAAGGAAGGCGATATGCTAGAAGTGTGTTTCGGAAAGCGACGTGGGTCGATCAATACACACATTTTCTCAGTTTTGCACCCCTGAAGTAGAAACGGAATCTTGTTCGTTGATTATACTTTCACGTTACTAAAATTTGCAGCACAGACATTGGGAGCCGAAAAAGATCGTATACTCTAAAGGCCGTTCATCCGAAAGCGCTCAGTGGTTCACAATCGTCGTAAAGTAATTGCAACTGTTCCAACGAAAAATGTGTTTCTCTCAGTTCCAGTTTGGCTCACATCTGGTGGGAACACCGCGTGAGCAACGAGCGTGTTCGACGCCTTGTTTACGGCACAGGAAAAGGAAATGAACCGCTCAGCACCGTCATTTTGCGCACCAGGCTCCGATGGCTCGGTCACGTGTTACGCATGCCAGCCAACGGGCTCCGGCGACGTGCGTTGTTTGCTCGCCGGGGGTGTGGATGGAAGAAAAGGTGAGGTGGCCAAGCTATGACTTGGTCGAGAGGAATGAAGGACCTCACTTCGAAGCTGGCCTCGGTTGGAGCATTACGGCTTCCTGGTTGGGGTCCAAAAGACGATGGACACATCTGGCTAGATACACTTGCTGAAATGGCTAGGTGCCGATCTCAGTGACCTTCTTGCTGTGAGTTTCCTTTGTCCCTCCCCATCCCTTTTAGCCTCCTCCTCCAACCACGGTCTCATTTCGTAGCATAATATAATTTTACATAAGTTTTTTGGGATCTTTTCCAGTTAAGCCCCGCCACTAATGCAAAAAGAGCACGCGCAAAAAGTTAAGCCCCGCCACCAACGCAAAAAGGTACATCTGAAAAGTCAAGCCCCACCAATAGTGCAAAAAGGGTACGCGTGAAAAGTTGAGCCCCGCCACTGTTGCCAGCTCCAGTGTACGTAATGCATGTGAACGTGCCCCATAAAAACACTCCTTATCCGCTTCTAAGGTCATTTTTTTCCAAAAAGTTTCTACGTTCGCACGTAAAACCTGACATGAACTTTCTGACGCTTTCGGCGGTCGTTCATGACAAGGAAACAGCAATACGTTTTTTGCAAAGCCATGGAGTGATTCATCATCAACGTTTATGCAGACGAGGACACCAAATGACACTTTCAACTGTTTCTGACAGGTGGAGTTGTGGTGCCCGACAGTGTCGGCAAGAAGTCGGTCTTCGAAAGGGAACTTGGCTGCAGCGGTCTAGGATGGATTTCAGGACAATAATCCTATTCGTTTATTGCTGGTCCAAAAATCTGACAACAATCAAATTCTGCTCAGAGGAGTTATCTATTAGCCACGCGACCGCTGTCGACTGGAAGAACTTTCTGCGTGAAATTTGCGCCTGGCAGCTTTTGCAGACTCCAACGATTGTCGGCGGCCCAGGTCTACATGTCGAGATCGATGAAGCCCTAATATCACGTCGTAAAAACCATGCAGGGCGAGTCCATCCCCAGCAGTGGATTTTCGGAGGGATTTGCCGGGAGACTAAAGAAGTGTTCTTGTATGTAGTGCCAGATCGAACTGCGGCCACTCTGCTGGACACAATCCAGGCGTGCATCGCTCCCGGCTCAATTATCATTTCCGATATGTGGGCATCATACCAAGGCAGTGAATCGATGATTGGCATGAGTTATACTCATCAAACGGTTAATCATACCGAAAACTTTGTGGATCCAACGACGGGAGCTCACACACAAACCATCGAATCTCTCTGGCACATTTACAAGATGCTGAATAAGCGCCAATGCGGCACACATCGATCTTTAGTGGACAGCTACCTCTGTGAGTTCGTTTGGAGGCAAAGACACCGAAAAATGGAAAAACTGGAAAAGATCCGTCTTTTGTTGTTGCCTAGTAGCCGGCTGGTAGCTTACCGGAACAATGCCCATTCGTTACCGGTAACTCAGCTGGCATGCAATTGTTGCATTTATTTTTTTCTTTTATGTGTTGCGGCGCAGTAGCTGAGGTGTTTTTACACCTCTAGCTAACGGGTATTGTTGTGTCCCCAGGGTTCGACTTAGCAGCTTTTTAGTTTGCGCCACACGAGTCAAAAGACAAAGCACCGGACAGGAAGTATATTTGCGAAACACTGCACGGGCCGACGTGGGTATGAAAACACTCTGATTACAGTTCAAATCACGGCTGAGTGCTAATTTGAATTTATCGATCTCAATGAATCACGGGACATGTAAGTGGTATGAAACAAGCGATTGTGACAAATGTTCTGCAGCACAGAAAAACTCTAGTCTGCTTGTAACTGAGACTGTTCTGATACAAGGCACAAGGTTACTTGGGAAATTGCGCACTTACCTTCCCGAACAAGCAAATTTGTTCCGTTTCTGTGCGCATTTGACTTTGGTCTGACCTAACACCTCCCCCTTGTTGAAATAGTTAGACCGGTAGCTGTATAGCTTTTCCTTCGGGGATCGACCTGAAAGAGTTGCACGCATCTTCTTAACCGTTGTGGCCTTAGTCGGCGTTCATTTCCCGTCCGTTCCATGAGCTGCGTATCCTGTCCGGTCGAGGTGCTTGGGTGCAAAGTGCATAGCAATTCATTGAAGTCAAATCGTTCGGCGTCGCCTGTCTCTGGGATCCTTGCAAACCGCGGTCGCAGTTGGTCGGCGTGACGAACCCATACTTGCTTACCAACGCGAACATCAGACATTACTTTGCCACGTCGTCTCACAACTTGACCTGGTATTCAGTTTATTCGATGCCCTCGATGAGAGGCAGCAAACACTGCGTTTCCAACTCTGAACTTTCTGCGCCGTGCTCGGTACCGTCTGTTGTAATGGGCTTCCATATCCGAATTCATACGAGTTGATGCGTACGTGACCGGGCACCTGAGGCGAAACACTGGTGTAGCACAAGGTAACATCTTGTTCGCCTGAAACTGTTCAGCAATGGTTTTACTTGGAATATGTGATATGATTGCATGATGCACCATGACGTTCGTTTCAGAACACACATTATTCAGTGGTACATTGAGCAAATTCAATCTATCAATCCAATCCATGCCAAGAAGATTAATGTTGATACAAGAAGCTAAGTAGATGGTTCCACGGAGGCTCAGATCTTTGAATTTAATGTCACATGTCAACTCACCATCTAACCTCAGTGGTTCGCCGGATGCATTTCGTGCAGTCAGATTGGTGCGCCTCAGTGGAGGTTTGCCGAGTCTCGTCCATGATGATCAAGAAATGATGGTAATGTCCGATGCCGTATCTATTTGCAAGCATATGAGAACATCGATAATTTTGACGGTGATGTACTTCCGTTTGTTCACAAATTCTGTGTGACAGGTCGCGAGAACTACTTTTGTGTTTGCTCCCTGAAACGACGTCTTTCGGAATTTAGAGTTAGTGTATAAGTGTGGGGTAGACACAGGTATAATGATGGTGATGATGACGTAAGAGATATTGCTGAACAGAAGAGTTTCCACATCGCAACAGCTCGAACCTTCTCAGCTGCCTATCCACACGTCATTGCCAAAACCGCGCCGTTTGTTGCCCAACGTCTCAAAGGCGGACTCCCTGTGCAGTCCGAATCTTACATTTTTTATCAATTTACTTGCATCTGTGATGTGAAGTACATCGGACATACAACTAGGCGTCTGTGTAAACGGACAGCGGAACATTATCCCACGGCATTGCAGTAAGGTACTGTCATCTGCATCGCGAGCTCTATCCTAGAATATCCGGTCGAAAGTGGACAACAAATTAGCACTGCCGATGTGTCCAAACGTTATCCTAAGGGGCTTAGAAAACGCTTGTTACGGACGACCGAAGCCATTGCAATTAGCATAGCACATCATCATCACTGCAAGTTAGCTGGAGGTGGAAAACGCCTCAGCTATTGTGCCGCAATACAAAAGACAAGAAAAGAAAAAACAAACAGTGGCACGCCCGCTGAGTCCCCGGTAACGGATGGACATCGTGCCGGAGAGCTAACAGCTGGCTGCCGTAAAAGAGAGTCATATTATGCCTAACAAGTGAGATCGTGATTGGAGGGGATGCTAAGCAGGAGGGGGATGGACAAAGGAACTCACAACACAAACGCCATTAGGGCCGGCTCCAAGCCATATCAGCAAGTGTGTCCAACCAAACGTGTTCACCGTCCTTAGGACCCCAGCCAGGCAGTCGGGATGCACCAACCGACGCCAACTTCGAAGTGAGCTATGAGAACAGAGGGCTCTTGTTCAAGCGCTCCTTCTGCCCTGGGGTTAACATACTGCCAGACAGCTTTTATTCCACACCCTGACAGCGGCCGGGTGATGAGTGAGTCACTCAACCAGTCGAAGAACACGTGCTCCGTCTCGTGGATAAATGTGTGTCTATGCTTGCTTACGTGCACTGTGGTAACTGCTGCCTGACTAGATCAACCAATTTATCTATTACGACACATCAATTTCTGCC